CGAATGATAGACGTCGTCTTTACAGGCGCCACAGAGAACGTTATGTGCAAAACTGCATACAGGAAGTGGAAGCTTTGGTGGTTGTAGAGTGATGAAAAGGGCAGTCATCTCCTACACTGCCGAAACAGACTTGGTGCTAGTTCTGGTGAATTTAATGAAACAATGTTACACGGATGAGTCTCTTCGGCCACAGGTCCTCCCCATTATGCAACAAGCGACGGCCCTTTTCCAACAAGACAACGCCCGACCTCACACAGCAAAACAGTCTTCTTTCAGGAATCACAACATCCATGTCCTGTCATGGCCCTCCTGCTCTCCAGATTTCAACCCAATTATTTATGGGATGCACTGGATCCACGGCTGCGAGCACGCCAGCAGCAACCACAGAACCTCCGACAGTTTGCACAGGAACTGCAGGCAGGTAGAATGGTTGAACATTCCCAAGGCAACAATTCGGGATCTCATTGCTTCCATGGGACGACGGTGAAAATATACTGTTCCATGTATCCTGTATGGAACCTGGGTCAACGAAAATGATGTGTGCCATTTTTGAACAATCGATTACCGTCTGTTCATATAAAATATACATATACAAACACTTTTGCGTTTCTTTTTTTGCAGAGTATATATTGGCCAGAGAAATAAACAGATGGAATAATATGATCAAAACATGTGTCCTACTTACTCTTGTTTTAGGTCCGAGCTGGCTCATGTCAATTGAAGACTTGCCCAAACATGACGTGCCTGGCGACTCGAACTGGCAAAACTGTGTGTGTGAAAGGTAAATATCGTCAAATGTTCACATGAATCAGAGAGTAATAGTTCATCTTACACAAATGTGAGAGAGGTGAAAACTGAAAACATTAAATGTATGTTTGAATATATGATATTTATATATGTTTCACATAAAAAAATATTCTTTCAGACCTTGATTGTAGGTTGAGAGTCGTTTTGTTTCTGAACTAGCAAAACAGGAATCCATTGATATAATTATAAGTATTATAAAGCTAAAAGAGGTAGGACTTATCTCAGAGAAAGAATTCTATTTTGTTCGTGCCTGGATTGAACTGTGAAGAGTAATAGCATCCGTGTTTCCCTATATAATATATACTATTTGTTAAATGCAATTAAAAGAGAGTAAATAATATTGGTGAAGTCGTGACCAGATGCTTATAGACTTACCACCACAAGAAACTTTACCATATTATTTAATCACTCTAGTTTAAATACCACAAAAGATAGATGCATGAAGTAAAATGTATTGAAAAGATCGAAATCTCAACGAAATCAATATTTAAAATGACAATTGTACATCATCCGATATTTGCATCCAACATAAGGTGGGATAGTATAACCAAGCTTTCAAAGTAATGGGTAAAGGGCACGCACACACATTTCCCAAAATCACCCAAGTTCAATGACACAACAAATTGATAGCATGTATGATCACCCCCTGCGCCAAGAGACGCAAAAACTCTCCCGCGAACAAAAAACGTCAGTTGTCTGATGACGTCACGTGGGATACGTCGCCATTCTTCTTGGAGGGCCTGGAGCAGTTCTTGGTTTTTCACAGAAAGTATTGAAAGTTTGCATGACAATATGGTGTCATATGGACCTCATTTGATGGTATTTTAAAAGTTGGTTGGTTGGTTTGTTGTTTAACACCGCACTCAGCAATATTCCAGCTTTATGACGGCGGTCTGTAAATAATCGATCCCGGACCAGACAATCCAGTTATTAATATCATGAGCATCGATCCACGCACTTGGGATCGATGACATGCATCAACTGAGTCGGTGAGCCTGACCACCGATCCCGTTAGTCGCCTTTTACGACAAGCATAGTCGCCTTTTACAGCAAGCATGGGTTGTTGAAGACCTATTCTACCCCGGATTTTCACGGGTCGTATATTAAAAGTAACACAGATTAAGGTTATATTTGATTTTAGGAATTACCCAGATTTGAGTACAAATACTGAAGGAAGCGCCTCATAAATAAACAATTAACCCACATTCACTGCTGGCTTTCCAGAGACCCATGAACAATACACAGTCTTGTCGCAAATGTCTTCCGCATTATGTATACTGCGCTTGAAGATCGGGGTAAGGACAGGTCTTCAGCAAACCATGCTTGCCTCGAGGCGACCGTGCTTGTCGAAAGAGGCTGATGAGGTCGGGTGGTCAGACTTGCTGTTTTGGTTGATGCATGTCTTTTGTTTCCCAATTGCCAACTGCTGAGGTTCCTTACTTTTGACGACGTTGGCACAAGCACACCCTTTAAGGATTCGAATGTGGACAAGGTCGAAAATGGGACACTCCGGCACTCCGACAGACGCCAAATTTTCGTAACGGCGATATGCTGCAAGCAGGGCCTTACTTTTGACAGCGTTGGTACAAGCAAACCATTTGAGGATTCGAACATGGACGAGATCGGAAATGGGATAAGAACACTTATTGACGCTCCGGTACACGCCAGTTTCGTAGTGATGCCTTACTTTTGACGGCATTGGTACAAGCAAACCCTTTGAGGATTCGAATATTAAGACAGACAGATTGTTTATTTGAGTCTCACCTCACAAATATATTTAAATAAATACATATAACGGGACATATAAGTGAGCCATCCGTTAAGGATTACGAGAGACTTAAAATACATCACAGTATATACAGCATAAATATATTAATGTAAAAGGGGTATATAAAATATACTTCTCGACAGTAACCATATAAAATATGTTTTCTTCGTTGGACAATTAAATAGCAGGTTTTGGCTGTAAAACATACATAATATTTGAAAAGTAAAATAAGTTTATCAGTATTACATTGCTCTAGGCCTTTTCGTATAAACTTTCACGCAAATCATCTTACACAGGGCAATCCAGCAGTACATGACATTCATCCTCAGTACTTTCCTTACACTGAAAACACACCCTTTCATTGACATTTATATTCGTATATCTGCCTGTTTCCAACTTCAGAGGAGCGGTACCTGATTTAAATTTGGAGAAGGCAGTGCGGTAAGAACGAGGCATATATATACTTACATAACTTTCACACCCATACACCTCTTTAAACATTCTATACGTACGTAATTTATTACCACCCGTTCTTCCGACAGGCTTGCATAACAGTTCATTCCAATCAGACACATACTTTCACATGCACACATGTTGTATATCATGCACACGTACAACTACACTTTTCACGCTAACATTCTCAGAAATATTCAGACCCCATCCGTTCAGCTTTGCATTCACACGAAAATTCCAGTTTTTCACACGTCCAGTAGCATACGTTCAGACCACATAAAAACATACTTATTTAATCTAATAAACATTTTAGTGAAACGACAATACTGTCTAATATATACACATCCACTGTCTAACTATGAAGGGCATTCATTCCATATCTCAATAAACAGCAACATTTGGAGCGTATGTACCAAACCTTAAGAAAAATCTCAAAGCACGATGGTGAACGGCATTTACAGTAGAATGTTGTTATTTTCAAATCGGCTGTGTTGGACGACTGGTACCAACTCTCTTGTTCAGAAGGCAAATAAGGCTCTGTTCGTTGTTAAGAAATTACGGCATTGTTTGAAGAACATACCCGTACATATACTTTTAAAAATATTTGACAGTCGAATTAAGCCTGTATTATTATACACTTCAAAAATATGGGGCTATTCAAAAATTGCAGCAATTGAAATTTTTTAGATTAAATTCTGTAAATTTACTATTGGAATTGGAAGTCATGTTTCAAATGTTGCTGCCTTTGGCGAATGTGGTAGATATGGATTATTTATTGATTATTACAAGAGATGTATTAATTATTGGTTGAAATTGATATTTTTACCCAGTTATAGATACCCTAAGCAATGTTATTTAATGCTGAAATCTTTAGATGAAGTAAATCGCAATACATGGGTAACTTGTGTCAAAAGATTATTGTTCAGTTATGGATTTGGCCACGTGTTGATTTCGCAGGAAGTTGGTAATGAGACCCTCTTTATTAATGCATTTATTCAAAGGTTAAAAGACTTTAACCAACAGGACTGGTATTGTAAAGTTTGTAAAACTACGGAAATTATCAATGTATAGGGAATATAAGTCATTGCTAACAGTTGAAAAGTATCTCTGTGAAATCACAAGCCGTCATTATAGACGTATGTTTTGTTTGTTAAGAGTTGGCGAGATGCCATTGATGGTAAATTTAGGCATAAGATGCGGTATAGAGTACTATAATAGGCAGTGCAGATTTTGTAATTTACAGGAAATTGAAGATGAGTTTCATTTTATGCTTTTCTGCCCATGTTACAGATATTTAAGAAATAAGTATTTACCTATTTATTACTCTTCAAATCCTACTTTATTTAAATATAACACACCATTATCTTGTAACCGCACTAGTATTGTAACTAATTGTGTTAAGTATATACTGGAAGCACTTGCAATCCGAAATACTGTCACTTAATACCCTTATCGCGAGGTAATACATTTTTGGTTGTTGAATAGATGTGATTTCAATTCCATTCGCATAAGAAATATCTTCTTAAGGCAGAATTCATTTTACGATTCCAACTGTTTAATAAGAATGTGTTCTTGATTCACAATCAAAAAGAAATGATCCCAGGTATTCACGGAAAGGTGAGGGTATACTGACCCACCTGTGGTACCCAACACAAACACATGCAAAGGCAAGTAAAATCGTCGGTAAATGATGATGCCTGATAAGGGCCCATGTCATTTCATTTTTCATCTCATTGACGTCTTGGCTCAAACACTGAACTTTAGCAATTTGTTGTAGAAAACATCCTATAATTAAGACGTTACAAAGAGTAATATATTTTGACACATACATTATTTTGATACATCGGATATTTCAGAAAAAGAGCATCAAACGCAAGTGTATTCCGACACTGATCTCCTTCATGCCTGTAAGGCGGGAGATTTGAGCCGAGTCAAATCCGTTTTGTCCGATCCCCGGGCAAACATCAATGCAATGGATAAGGACAAGATGACACCAGTGATGTTTGCAGTATCTTCAGGACATAGAGAAGTGTTTGACCTACTTGTCAGAAAAGGTGCCAACCTGTCGTTATCGGATGGTATAGGTGACAACATCCTCCATTTGGCTTGTGAAGGAGGAAATGTTGACATAGTCAAGTATGTCCTCACACAGAACATTGTGGACATCAACAGTCGGGATGAGGATGGGTGGACGCCAGTATTGGCTGCAGCGTATAACGGTGATAAGGGTGTGTTTGACGTTCTTGTGGGGGCAGGGGCGGATCTGTCACTTCTGAATGATAACGAAGAGGACATCTTTTATTTGGCCTGTGAAGGGGAAAATATTGAGATAATCAAGTACCTCCTGACACAGGGCAATGTGGACATCAACAGAAAACAGTATGGGTGCACGACAGTAATGGAAGCAGCATTGACCAACAGTAAGGAAGTTTTTGACTTTCTGGTGAAAGAGGGGGCAGATCTATCACTATTGAGTGATGACAATGGAAACATCCTCCATTTGGCCTGTGTTGGGGGAAATGTTGAGATTGTCAAGTACCTCCTCACACAGAACATTGTGGACATCAACAGTCGGAATGACGAGGATCGCACTCCAGCAATGATTGCAGCACATGAGGGACATAAGGCTGTGTTTGACTTACTCGTTCAAAAGGGTGCTAATCTAACAATTGTGAATGATGCTGGTGATAACATCCTAAACATGGCCTGCAAAGGAGGAAATGTAGATATAGTGAAGTATGTTATCACAAGACACATTGTTGAGGGGCGGTTCAGTGAGGACAACCTGTGTTGAATGCACTCTCGATCATATTCAAAGAAGTGTTTGACATGTGAGAAAATGAGTGGATTTCTTATAAGCGGATGTCAATGGTGAACTCATTCTTCAAATTTCCTTTCCAGTGTTGATAGGTAGGGCCTTAAACAGAACAAAGTTACACCAGTGATGGTTGCGACGTGGGGGACAAGGTGTGGCGTTTGATTTATATACAACGAAAGTTTGTTTGTTTGTTTCTTGTTTAACGCCGCACTCAGCAATATTCCTGCTATATGACGGCGGTCTGTAAATAATCGAGTCTGGACATGACAATCCAGTGATTGACATTTTGAGCATCGATCCACGCAATGATCAGAAAGCTATACCACCTGGGTACAATGAACAGAAGGCCATACTACCTAGAGACAATCATCAGAAGGCTATACTACCTAGTTACAATGATCAGAAGGAAATACTACCTATTCACAATGATCAGTAGGCTAAACTACTCTATGACTTTATACTCATGATTTGACACCACTGACACTGAGCTATCACTGTAACGCTTCCTCCGTTGACTTGCTTTCTGAGAGAAGGGTACGCTAAAGTTTCACCTGGTAACCTTTGGGAATGGTCTGAAAACACTTACTCTCGTGTTTACTCTCACAGAAATGTGTTATGTTCATGTTTACATTCAAACTCAAGAATAGTTAACTTCAGTAGGATGAATTTGTGTTTTTATCATCCATAAACAAGATAAGAACGTTAAGAACTAACACCAATAAAAGCAACTTAAAATGCTCATGCATGGGTTTAGTTGAAACTGGCTGTGGGGCGGTCGGGTAGCCTAGTGGTTAAAGCGTTCGCTCGTCACGCCGAAGACCCGGGTTCGATTCCCGACATGGGTACAATGTGTGAAGCCCATTTCTTGTGTCCCCCGCCGTGATATTGCTGTAATATTGCTAAAAGCGGCGTAAAACCATATTCAGTCAGTCAGTCAGTGAAACTGGCTGTGAATGTCATCACACCGGAAGTGTTATTAAGTTTTTTATTAGGTAGATAGAGGCAAGAGACTTTCCACTTAATAAATGCATTGCATTGACCATGTGCTTTGTCTGCCCGAAAGTAACCACGTGAATATATACTATGCCCGACATCTTGACTTTCACTCAAGTAATAAACGTGTAAATACAAGCAACAGAGCCCTTTCCATAAGCATAAGAAATCTCAGCTAAAAGCACTGTCCATACCTGTATTGCTTCGGGCTTTCATTCCGCATCAAGCCACACACTCTGAGATAACAGAACTACTCTTCAAAGCGGATTTAAACCAAACCCCCCAACTCAATCTGGACCTACGAGGAACACCTTGTTGAAAATGCTTGATAATTGCTATGTAAAAATAAGCAAATTTACCTTTTGATATATTGCCGATAACTGTTAATATCGTTCATTTCAAATATATGGTGGTGTATCCATTAATATAATAATGGTGGAGAAGTAGAATTCTAGACAAGAAGATACTTGTGGTTCTGCCACTTCAATTTCCATTTATGGGGCCAATAAAATTCTAAAACAGAAGATTTTCATTAAATATTTGAAACATATCTAATTGATGTATTGTAAGCTTGATAGTCCTAATGAAACTAGGATATATTCTGAGCCAGGCGTACCTCGAAAGCCCACTTGAATAAATGATAAGCTGATAACAAATTGAGAAATAAAATATTTTTGCTCATTATTATAAAATACGAGAGCTCCCACGCACACAAGATGTTCACACACGTACATGCAGCATCGGTTAGTCGCCTAATATTGCCTTACATCGACAAGAATTGACAATTAATCCACTGTTCCTTTCACGAACAGTAAGAGACCATGTCCTGTGAGGCTACGTAAAGTCTTTTTTTTATGCAGATAGTATGGAATCCTGGATTGGACATTGTCGCATTGTCGAATTTTTGCATTGTGGCCCAAACAAAAACAAGTACCATGTGTCAAAAGTGCGACAATGTGACGAGGCATTTTGACCATTTGTCACATTGTCGCGTGATCGTTTTGTCGCGCTTTGAATAATCGTTTTTAGTCTACGAAAGTGCGACAAATCGACAACGGGACATTTTTTCAAGGCCAATGAATGTTGGGTTGTCTCATTGTCGCTTCATCAATAATGTGTAACAAAGCATTAAAATGCATGACAACGCGACAATGCGATATATTGATAATGTTGCATTATCGTGTTGTCGCCATTTTTTATTAATGGTGCAAATGTCAAGTAGATGAATTAATCTACGCATGCGCTGAAATGGTTATACTCCTTGTCAAACTCCAGTGGTCATTTTTAGTTCCAATGGTTCTAAAAAATAATTAGCAATGGCAATGTGGGTTCCTTTTCACCAAATTTCATTTTTCATCGTTGCTTAAGAAACTGGTTCATATACAGTTATTGTCTGTGTCAGTTTTCATATCTCAATGGTGTTTCCACAGCAAGTACCTGTTAACCTTCTTGCATATTACAGGCAGCTTCGCTATTACTCCCCTTGAAGATGAGAATGACAGGGGTAATGATGCGTTTTGAGCAAGATATTCAGCTTGAGGAAAAAGTATTATGATATATTAGGCTCATCAGTAGCTCAGGGCCCTTGCCCCCCTCTACACGTAGCCCAGACAGCAAATGGGACTTCTCCCATGAGCTGCATAGTCAAACCCACCAAGAACTTTTCGGAGAATGTGAAGACTCCCCAACACTCCAGCCTGCTCCATTACCCAGATTGTCAGAAGGGCTGCATTCCTTGCAGCAAGCACAGGTACTCTCCCAGTGTCAGACAACAGATTGGGAGGTACCAAACCTAAGGCACCGAGGACAATGGGGAGTCGGACAACTTGGTATTTAGATGCAAGTGTGACATTTTGAAAGAGTGGTCTGCATATTTGCCATGTTTTTCGTGAATATTGTCAATCACATTAGTGTCAAAAGGGACAGAAAATTCAATAATATAAATTATTTCATTTGATTTATCAAAAAGGACCAGATCAGGTTTGTTGGCCTGGATAGGTCTGAGGCTCTATGCGGGCCTATACCAAAGAATTTGGTATTTATAATTTTCCATGACGCCATCAACATATTTTTAGGTTGACCACGAGCATGACGAAGACGGCAATAAAATGATCGAGCGTCCCAATAATGTCGTTTCAGATACGGTGTTTGTGTCCAAGGCACTGACGATGTGTTTGACAGTCTCATTAAATTCTTTGCAAAATTCTACGTTTCATATTTACATTTTGATGCAAAATCACACATTGACAACTTCGAGTTGGAATTGACTCTTCCCGAGCAGCAAACAGAAAGCCTTCTGTTTCACTTTTCATGCCTGCCGTTTACACTAATTTATGTACCGTCCAGCAGTACAGAACCATCATCAAAATCAACAATAACATTGATATCATTTCTAACACCCTTGGCTCCATTACGAAATCTGTGGAATGCCTTGTTTTCATCATGAGTCTTCACATGCTTCACAAGAGGATCATCAGGCAAATAAATGTGTGCAAAAGTGCACAATACAATTCTATCAGCCTCCACGTTCATCAAACAACGCACTCCCATTATGATTGGTAAATATAAGCGATTGAGGGAAGAGCGAGGGTTGTGGAATCTATTGTCTGACATCAGTCTTCGTGTCAGGGTGTCAATACAATGAATTTCTTGTTCCGTCTCATCAACAACACCAATACAATATGAAAGGGTGGTGCAGCATAAAGCGTATACCATTTCAGACCTAGCATTAAGCCAATGCGCCTTCACGTGCATTAAAGGTCCATGAACAATAGGGCAAGATACATCGTGAAAACAACTAAAGCCTAAAGGCTAGTTGTTATCAATACATAACTAACGATACAGAATAATGTTAACATTAAATCAATATATGTCTATCTAAAGTATCATCCGAAATTTTTGTTGATGCGATAGTCTGATTGCCTTCAGTCTTTCCTGTTCCACTACATGAACGTTGTACTATTAATTGTCAAATAAGTATTGATGTGTGAACAGCGAGATGAAAAACGTATGTTCAGGCAATCTTGAGAACATGTTCCGCACTTTAATTACGTGCCTCATATATAGTGGGGCTATTTGTCAGATGCCAACAGATACGCCGACTCACAACTCGTTAATCTGCAAGAACATAGGCATCACATTATGCCAAATGACATGTATAAAGAATGGCTTCTGTCGAGATACTGAATACACTATTCACACTCAAACTTGTAACCTGTTGGAAATGGACAACGATACGATTTCAAATGAGGCACAATACTTCGTTGGAGCTATGGACTTGGAAGATGTAAGTTTGTGTGTGTTGTTTATGATGAAAGTTGTCTTTTCCTCCAGTGGCCCTTCGGCAAAACGTGAACACTAGTTATGTACAACATGAAAGCTACTTCTATTTTTTTCAAAAGAAAAAGGATTTATTAATATCACCAAAAATATGTTTATATTTCGAACCACACACCATGCAATACTTCAAATTGCAAACCTTGTCCTACTTTGTTAACTGATCATGCATTTATATCCATATGTACAACACAAAACCTTTTGAAGACCGGTCTTGTCAAAACTGAAAACGTCATCGATGGCATTGAATGTGAATATGTACCTAGAATGAAATTAGTTACAGCCTCTAAGTTCACGTCACCGGATGTCATGCCGCTGTGGATGCTGCTGTGGATTCTTATGTAAATCGCGTTAATGTGCACGTGTAATTAACGTACAACTGAATATACACGTTATATATTTTCTTTTAAGATTTACACATGCAGTATTACTTTTCAAGTTCAATGTTTAATCAAACGGTTTCATGTCTTCCTACAGCAAAGCAGAATCTTGCGCAAGTGTACACCAACTTAATCACTGATCTTCTTGATGCCTGTAAGGTTGGAGATTTGTGCCGATTCAAATATATTTTATCTGAGGTCCGGATAAACATCAACACATGGGGAAGTAATAAGATGACACAAGCGATGCTTGCAGCACAGGGGGGACATAAACAAGTGTTTGACCAACTTGTCAGGAAAGGTGCCAAAGGTGATGAAGAAAACATCTTTTATTTGGCCTGTGAAGGGGACAATGTTGAGATAATCAAGTACCTTCTGCCACAGTACATTAAGTTCATCAACAGCTTTGTGGATGGCATGACACCCGTATTGTCGACAGCATACGATAAACGCAAAGAAGTATTTGACTTCCTTGTAACAGAAGGAGCAGATCTATCACTATTGAGTGATGCCAATAGCAAAATCCTTCATTTGGCTTTTGTTGGAGGAAATGTTGAGATAGTCAAGTACCTCCTCACACAGAACATTGTGGACATCAACAGTCAAGATGGGGAGGACCGAACTCCCATATAAGGGAAACAAGGCTGTGTTTGACTTGCTTGTTAACAATGAAGTTGATCTGACAATTGTCAATAATGTGGGTGATAACATCCTGAATATGGCCTGCAAAGGAGGAAATGTAGATATAGCGAAGTATATTATCACACGACACATTGTTGAGGGACAGTTCAGTGAGGATAACCCAAGTTGAATGCACTCTCGATCATATTTAAAGAAGTGTTTGACTTGCGAGAAAATGAGTTGACTTCTCATAAGTTGATGTCAATGGTGAACTCATTCTTCAAATTTCCTTTCCAGTGTTGATAGGTAGGGCCTCAAGCAGAACAAAGTGACAGCAGTGAGGGTTGCGACATGCATTGTAGCCAATAGTCTCCACCACCTAAAAATGACAGCCAGCGAAACTGACTGACCTGATAAGCATTATTCATTATACATTGATTGGTCACGCAGTAAATGTTGAAAAGGGAATTACTGTTATAGTATGGTTAAACTCGATGTCAGTATCACCACTGTATGGGACATCTAATACAAAATGACTCACTTATAAAGACAAAACGTACTGATAGAATCTACAATCTTACTCTTTACAGGGCAGTATGTGAAAAGTATCCTATATCTATTTCTTAAATAAGATGACTTCCAGTTAGTCTTACCATGTGTAATAAAGAGTTATTGAAAATGGCCTTGGAGCTAATATTCTCCACCACCTAAAAATGACATTCGTATTATCAGCAAAACCAAGTTTTCAGAAAATCTGACATCTTAAATGATATTCAATAAATATTTTCTTTAAAAGTATACATTATTCATTAAATTACTGACTACCTCAACGATTGCGTCATCGCCCCTGTTTTTTTATACACAAATAAATGCGACAAATGTCCATTGCACTATTCCGAGGAAATGAAGATTATGTCCTTCACTTTAAAAAGCGTTGCTTATAACACATACATGCCATTTATATTCGTGTGTCCATTCTTTACAAGTTTCATTCTTCGGCCTTGCCTGGCAGGTTCATATCTATGGTCAATGATTATGATAAAAGTCAAAACGACAATTCTGAAACTCACTTGAGGGTCACATAGGCAGACATTGTGACTGCCTGAATAGCCTCAGGCTACTGAGAAGATTTTGGAAAGTTTAGTTGATCTGGGATGGTCATTTACTGATTTCCCAATCTAGTCCTGAGTGAACCAATTTCTTGGCTAGCCTCTGCGTTTTAATCTAATAATCACCTCGTAACACACTTTAAACCGTACTAGACACTAGTATCAATACCTTGCTGAAAATGACTGCTAATTGCTTCATACAGGACATACTTGCATCATTGGATAACTCATTGATGGGATTTAACTGAATGCTATACCCACCAACCTGAACGTGAATTGTAAAAGGTACAAACAATATATTAATATACTCTGCCAAAAAAAACCATAAAAGTAGTAAATTCGACAGAGTTGCCGACATCCATACAAAATTAATACCCAAAATGAGTTGTCATTTCTGTATGGATTAGGAATTGTTTGAGTTGAAAGAACGAGGTGCTGCAGACATTTGGTGAAAAGTTGGCAATATCGCAAAAACACGTGAGAGCCTGGCGCAAAAAGCACACCAACATGAGGTGCACGTGCAACATCAGTTGCTGGTCTATGAAACATATGTTTTTCATGTCCATGGCATCACAATCTTACAGCAAATTAAAAACGAAAACATGCCACGACTAACGGCAGCCCAACGCAACGTCATCGGGGAAACTGCAAACCCGTAGCACCAAGCACCAAACTGAGGATCCGATCCACCTATCACTTCTACAGCACAGGAGAGATTCATACGGCTATGTCACTCACGTAAAGCATCACCACGGCGACCTCTACAACTACGGCAATATCATGATTGAGTAGGATATCAACCCAGACAGTGAGGAACCGTTGACGCGCTGAAGGTATTCGCGCTAGACAACCAGTTTGAGGTGTCATTTTGACGGACCTGCCACAAGGTCAAAGAGTATCCACAACTGCGATGGAGACAACAAATTCTGAGCAAAGAGGATACATCCTGAAGTGTTTAACCTACTTGTCATTATGAGATGGTGACGATAAGAAAACCCGATACAAAATAACAGGTACCAGCCAGAACTGATTAACATAAAGACGTACTCGAGGAGGAAGAAGCAGATCTGCACCCATGACAATATAAACATTCCCCATGTGACGGAGCATCTATCGAGATAGTCAAGGTATGTCCTCACGAAGGAAATTCCTGACATCAAGAGTAAAGGTGTTGGCGGGAGAATGCCAGAAATGGATGCAGCAAAGGAGAGTCTGTTTTATATACAGGTTTCGAAAGGTTTAATCAGACAACAATGAATCGTGCCAGCAAAATAATCCTGAATGTTGTAGGAAGTCTTCAGATTGCAACACGTGTTCCGACACAGAACCTTCCAGAGGTCATGACAAGAGGATATGATGCAAGATCACCAGCGATGTGTGCAACATACTCGGGACATAGAGAGGTGCCGATCTGCCACGTGCGGATACGTATGATAAGACCATCTGCCACTTGCTAGTAGAGTTGTTGAATACATCCTTTCAAGTGACATGTTAGATACACCATTGAGAAAAAGAACAAATCAAGTGCATCACGGCAGATAATCTGGCAATCCTTAATATATCCTCTTTTCCGTCAAATACTTTCTTGTGAAGTTACATTCAGTTGATATGGTAATAGTCATACGTCTTTTGTCACTCATGAAAAAGACATTGATCTCTTAAATGAGTGATCAAGATGTTGCTTCGGATGTGTAGACAAAATATCAAATATTTTGGTGCAGGTCATGTATTTCGTTGCAAGCCATGGAAATATGAGGATCTCTGAGTCATAGCATACACATTCTAGGCCATCATTATGCACATTCATGTTAGTATCAATGTTCAAGAGCATTTCTATAGGGAGACATATATCATAGATGAAACAATGTCACATTTTGAATCTTGAGCCCTCTAATTTGAAAAATAGAATCTATTTATATCTTAAATGTGTTTTGAAGAGTCGTATATTTTACTATACCGTCTTGTTTATTGCCGGTTGGTGTTGACGGAGTTGTATAGAGTCAAAACTTTCAGGGCGTTGAGACGCTGTTGACGCCTCGTCGATGCCATTCTCATTGATATCTGGTGATAAAATAGGCACTTAAACCCCTTTCTTATACTTGTTAAAATACTATTTCAGTAAATTATGTACGCGTAGACTAGATCTAGATTCAACACACACACACACACACACACACACACACACACACACACACACACACACACACACACACACATACTCTTGCGTGCATATATTATTGGGTATAAGTTTGATATCTACCAGACTATTGGGCCACAGACAACATGAGCTGTAAGTGGGTATGTGGCTGAAGGATCAAGGAGTCATATTATTATCATATTGGCCTATATTTGTAAATATTTAATATATATAACAATGATGCAGAATAATTGGTTTATCTTAATGCATATCAATGTATGTCTATCTTTGCTATCAAATAGCATTGTTTGGCGTAAAAGTAAAAGTCACGAGAGGAAAAGTAGAATGGTTGATAAGTAGACGCTGGTAACTGTATACCTTGGATAACTACTTAACAGAGCAGCTGTACTTCTGAAACACTCATATGGGTATTTGATTTCCTTTTGGATTGATCTGCCGATAGACAATCTCGTCATTAAGACTGCAACATCTATATTTTTCTGTTCTACCACATAGACGTGGTATTTTCAGTTGGCAAATGATATAGATCTGTGAACAGCAAGATGACAAAGTTGTGTTTTGGTAATCTTGAGAACATGTTCCTTAGTTATATAACGTGCCTCATATTTGGTGTGGCTAATTGTCAGGTGCCATCAGATACGCCGGCGTATAGCTCTTTATTCTTCAAGAACATAGGCATCAATTTATGCCAAATCAAATGCGTAAAAAACGGCCTCTCCCGAGGTATTGAATACACTATTCCAACTCTAACCTGTCAACTATCAGAAATGGATCACGATACGCTTCCCAATGAGGAACATTACTTCGTTGGAACTATTGAGTTAGCAGATGTAAGTATGTGTGTGTTCAACTACACGAACGGGTTGCACAACGTGTACTTGGCAGCTCGTGATGTAAATTCCACTACATGTGTCTGCCATGACTCAGCATAAAGGTACCAAACTGTAGGTCATTCAATCACAGGTGACATCCCGCTTCCGTTTGGGATCCTAACTTTGAAAACAGTCTGGATAGTGTCGTATGTCAAAAGAGGGTCAATAGAGAAGTGAACATTTGTAATGTCTTTCAGAGTAGGCTAAGTCAGTGCGTGGTGTTGACTTTGGTAGAATGCACAAACTGAATAAGAGGAAAGAAGAAAGTCTGACATAAGCATCGTGATACGGTGCCAAGTCTGACCATCCGATCCCGTCTGTCACCTATTTCGCCCAGCACGGGTCGCTGAAGATTATATACAGACACACAGACACAGACACAGACTGAGACACACACACACACAAATCATATACACGCACACGCATATATTTCTTACAATTATTACTGAAAAGGTATTTGTTGAAATGCTTATATTCACAGTCTGATAACATGCACATATTTGCAGTTATACAAAATATGCAGGGCCCTTACTGATAGTTATTGGTATGCGTAAACAAACACGAATACCAGGCAAATGCGTTTTAAACAGAGGTGAGATCAGGTGAAATGGGGTAAAACGTCGTGTTCAAGATTATTAAACTTGTATAACACGTGTATGCACGTGTGTGTTTGTGTGGCTGCTTTACAAGTCCGGACTAATGCTAATTTTATAGTGCCAGCCCACTGAGATACCAGGCCCCAGCTTAACATGGATACCACACTCAATTACAGTATACTGACTGCGAGCTGACCAGTACTTGTTTTTAGAACATTCATGCTGAGCGCCGGACAGCGTAAGGACAACTACTTTTAACAAGACCACGGAGGCCGTATTGAACTAGGGAGTGACTGGGTATTATACCCGGTTAATGTATGAACCGAAATGGTACCCGATTGGAACTAACGAACCTTCTGTTTGAACACATGCAACGTCATGCTCATCAGCAACCTTCTTGCAGTAATCACGTCATTAACGTACAAACTTATGGCACTAACGGCAACATACTGCCATCCGGCTAATACTTTGTATGTAAACCAAACAAAAATAAATTCGAATAAGTTTCTTAATATGTAATTATAACCTGGCCAATAATACCTCATAATTATATCCGCATAACTAAGATCTCTAGCATGTAGAGTAGAAGATGTAAATACATTGCCCAGGAGATGAAAACATGTGCACATTACTCCTGTTTTAGGTCCGAGATGGCTCTTGTCAGTTGAAGACTTGCCCAAACATGACGTGTCTGGAAACTCGAACTGGCAAAACTGTGTGTGTGAAAGGTAAATGTCGTAAAATGTTGACATAAATCAGAGAGTATCTATCCATGTTACCCAAATGTGAGACAGTTGTAATTGTTTGTGAACTGATTTCAAGTTGATGCATGTCATCGTAGCCCAATTGCGTAGATACATGCTCCTGATGTCAATCACTGGATTGCCTGGTACAAACTCGATGATTTACAGACCGCCGTCATATAGCTGGACAGTAGTGCGCCCCTAATTGTAATTAAGAAGCTGTTCATCCATATATCTTATCTTTACTTAGTACTCCCACTTCTAAATGCCTCTCAAAGAAGTTATAGATTGATGATGTTCTTGAAAAAAAATATGAAATAATCAATACGGAGTTCCATTGTGATGCCACATATCTTCCAAAGTTTCATTTAGTGTATTTATTGGTAAAAGATAAATACGTGATTCATTCAAAATTCAGTTCATGTGTTGTGGCTTGCAAATGAGGGAATTTTGTATTCAGAATTTATTTCACTGGTTTATTTCTAATTATAACAAGAGAGACATTTGTCAACATAAATCATCGTCAGTGATACCAAGTCGTGTCATACCAAATGTGTGTCCCTCGAGAAATATTGGGATTTCACATATGTGCGACCGCATTTATAATATTCACATGAATATTAGTTCATGTGCAATGGTTTGTGAAGGAGGGAATTCTGAATTCAAAGTTAATGTTATTATTTTATTTCTTGATAATAACAATTTTGCAAATATTGCCTTGAAGTCTTTACTATTTGAGACTTAAAGGAAGCAGGTTTTTTGGTCTAAAATAAATGTTACATTATATTGTCTGCTATTTTTTCATGTTTACACTTAAGGCGTATGCATAAGTGCAACCTACTTTTCATTCAAATATTTGTTTTTATTCAGCACCTAATCAAATGTGAACTGGATGCCTATCATGAAAAAGAGTGGAATGTACAGGATCAAAATGGTAAGAAACATCACTCAAAGAGCATGAGAGTTAAGACATGTTTTTTATTCATCAAGAAAATATGTACCTAGAATGAGATTAGTTACAGCCTCTAAGTTCACCTCACCGGATGTCATGCCGCTGTGGATGCTGCAGTGGATAATGCCATTCTTATGTAAATCGCGTTAATGTGCACGTGTAATTAACGTACAACTGAATGTAAAACGTCTCGATGATCTGCCAAAGTATACACGTTATATATTTTCTTTTAAGTTTTACACATGCAGTATTACTTTTCAAGTTCAATGTTTAATCAAACGGTTTCATGTCTTCCTATATCAAGCGCAAGTGTACACCAATTTAATCACTGATCTCCTTGATGCCTGTAAGGTTGGAGATTTGTGCCGAGTCAAATATATTTTATCTGAGGTCCGGATAAACATCAACACATGGGGAAGTAATAAGATGACACCAGCGATGATTGCAGCACAGGGGGGGACATAAATAAGTGTTTGACCAACTTGTCAGGAAAGGTGCCAACCTGTCTTTGTTGGATCATTCCGATAGGAACATTCTCTTCTTTGCTTGTAAAGGACGAAATCTTGAGATAGTCAAGTATGTCCTCACACAGAACATTGTGGACGTCAACAATCGAAATGTGGACGGCTTGACGCCAGTAATGGATGCGGCAATATGGGGTGATAAAGGACTTTTTGACTTTCTTGTGGAGGAGGGAGCAAACTTGTCACTCTTGAGTTATGATGAAGAAAACATCTTTTATTTGGCCTGTGATGGGGACAATGTTGAGATAATCAAGTACCTTCTGCCACAGTACATTAAGTTCATCAACAGCTTTGTGGACGGCATGACACCAGTAATGTCGGCAGCATATGACAAACGCAAAGAAGTATTTGACTTACTTGTAAAAGAAGGAGCAAATCTATCACTATTGGATGATGCCAATAGAAACATCCTTCATTTGGCCTGTGTTGGAGGAAATATTGAGATAATCAAGTACCTCCTGACACAGAGCAATGTGGACATCAACAGTCGAGATGGGAATGACAACACACCAGCAATGATTGCAGCATATAAGGGAAACAAGGCTGTGTTTGACTTGCTTGTTAACAATAGGGCTGATCTGACAATTGTCAGTTATGTTGGTGATAACATCTTGCATATGGCCTGCAAAGGAGGAAATGTAGATATAGTGAAGTATGTTATCACACGACACATTGTTGAGGGGCGGTTCAGTGAGGACAACCCGTGTTGAATGCACTCTCGATCATATTCAAAGAAGTGTTTGACTTGTGAAAAAATGAGTTGATTTCTCATAAGTTGATGTCAACGGTGAACTCTTCTTCAAATTTCCTGTCCAGTGTTGATAGGTATGGCCTCAAGCAGAACAAAGTGACAGCAGTGATGGTTGCAACATGCGGACAATGTTGATCTATATACAAAGAAACTAACACATCTATCCCAATTCGATACTGGTGATAACGATATTCTTTGCTTGGTATGTAGTGTGAAATTGTCAACACTGAACAGTGTTATATTCTTATATATCCTTTCGCTTGGAATCGTAGGTATTTCTCTCAAGAATTAGGATAGATGAGATAAAGCGATGAAAGCCAGTGAAGCTAGTGATTCGTCAGTGTACTTGCTTTGGCCGTCGTTTCTGAGAAGAAACACTGTACAGTTATACCAAAATAGGCACGGCGCATTTTTATAACAACATCGAATTAATAATATGAGATTCCAAGCAAGAATGAGCAAATTCTTGGATTTAATTGGGCTAAAAGCGTTGGATCTATCACTGATGATATTGTGGATATCACGATATTCATAACAAATCACGATAGTCATTAGAAATCCCTTCAAAATACAAAGTCGATTGTACGATTCCGACTATGCTATGAGCATATGTATATGAATCACAATCAAATAGTGATGATTTCAGGTGTTTGCGAAAAAGTGAACGCATCCAGTCCCATCATAAACACATGCAAAGACAAGTCAATAGTGAAAAGTCACTTGAAGGGTCATTGTCATCTACACGATCACAGCCTGAAAAACTGTTTGTGTACCACCAACATTGGGAAGGATTTACTGTTGAGCAATGAACTTTGCATATGTCACAGGACCAAGGAGCGTCCATTCCAATTTGGAATGAACGTTGGATTGCTTTGGAAAGATCGCTCATTCCAAACTTTCCAAAGCTTGGAAGGATCGATCTTTCCAGAAAATCCAAAATTGGATTGGCAACATTTCCAAACATATTTCCAACACAGGAAATGTTTGGAATGACTTGGAATGGTTTGGAATGGTTTGTAATTGTTTGGAAATATGGTTAGAAGGAACAAGTTAAAATATGTTTTATTAGTAATTTGAACAATAAAAAGACTATGAATAATTTATTGAGTTTAAACTATATATAATAAATATTAAATTTATCTCAAACATTCACTACTTGTCTGTCTAGCGAGGGGCTTTTACAGTCGCATTCTCCCTAAGGTGAGAGAGAGACCCGCACTTGACTCGACAAGACACTAATAGGTCTCAAGATTAAGTATTCGGCTGGATGGCAGCTGCCATTTAATTACAAAACAGACAGTCGTCTAGACGGCTCACATGTAAGTGCGCCGACATGTGCCTAAGATCATAAAATGGACAATCTTTGGTAACATCTAATTTATTGTTGTCTCACGCCAGAGCTGTGAATAATTATGTTATTGAACAATTGGAATTCAGGAAGTTATCAATAATTGTTTTACTTAACATAAGATAAGATAAGTTGTTTACAACATAATATTATGATGTCAGGACGTACTACAGTCAAAACCATATATTTTAAAATCAATTTAATGACAGACTATGATTTCCAAGTCCCGATTATCAAATCAATGAGGTATCAGTTTCACCACATGTGCACAGACCGCCTTTACTTATATATATATTTTTCATAACTATTCTCCAGTTAAAGTCCTATCCTCTTATCAAAAAAATCTGTGAGAGTGATCATCATTAACGAAACTCATTCTCATCAATGAATACAGAACAAATAAAGAATCAGATGCATACATTTATTGCCATGCTTCATTCATCACGAAGTAGATTTACATACATTTGTGAATAGCACTTAAACTATGATAATGAAGTTTACCATTGTCCATATTAACACAATAATATATACATATATACAAAACAGGACATGCATTTAATAAATAATTACCATAATATGGATTTCCGAATATATAAACGACTTCAACGTTGATATTTCAGACAAAAACAAAGTCTCCTGTCTTTTAACGTTCAGGGGAAAAGGGTTTGCTTTCACAATTGAACATTTGTTTTCACCAAAGGACAATCAAATCAAGCCAAAAACACGAAAAATACATATATATATGGTTAGCGACCGTCATTACACAGCGAGGGGGGGGGGGGGGGGGGGGGGGGGGGATTCGTCTGCTCTTACTGCCTTCACAAAAACATTCCAGCCCTTAATTACCGAGGCAGCTGTGACGTAGTAGCATTACATTCACGCAGCATATAAGATGTGTAATCTGTGGAGTAACTAAAGTAATATTACGGCTGAAATCTTACTTGCATGGTTGTTTTAATAGAAAACTTACGTTTTAAAAACACAATTGTTCTTATATAATGTTTTTAGGTTTGGTTTATAAATACTAGAGAAGATTTTTTTATACATATAAAACTGATCGAAATTACAGCTGAACAATAGAAAATCAAAAAAGGAGTTGTGAATAGTGACAAAATTAAATTACATCACTCTGTCAATAATTATTGATTGATTCCGTCAAACAACTGTCAAACCATTTATTGCCATGTACGTACATGTACACAGGAAGTCGGCGCTGTCGGAGGCTCCAGGTAAATAAACATCGTGGTTTTATGACGGGAGATCAGACGAACCGTGAACCAGGGGCATGCGACGTAATTACACCTAAAGGTGGTAGAACCAGGGTATTGTCCCTTGGACTGGCTACTTGACCGTACATATAATTGGTAAATATATTCGTTTTGACACCCGTGTTTCATGCGCATCCCGGCTCATAAGCAGAATACAGACAAATGAGGCCCCGTGATCAGCGGAGCGTGAACAACATGGATGCCGCCTTTCGGCCGTAACAGTCAAGCTGCGATCTCGGAACTGCTCGCCCGATTGAATCCAATTGCAAGCGGAGACAAGATTTACTTCCCTTACCCAAACATGATCGTTGCTCAGAAATGTTCAAATCTATCTTCAGTAAATCATGAAATTAATGCGAGCATGACATTTATGCGAAAAATGCGATCGACAGCCTCCGTGGTCCAGTGGTAGAAGGTCCGCCTGGAGAGAGGAAGGTCGGTGGTTCGATCCCCGGCCTCGTCATACCAGAAAATGTTAAAAGCTGGTACTTGTTGTTACCCTGCCTGACGCTCGGCATTAAGGGGCTAAAATAAAGACTGGTCCGCTCCGAGTACACTGTTTTTGAGTGGGGTATTCATGATGTGGCATGGTATCTCAGTCGACTGGCACTCTAAAATCTCCGGACTATACAAGCAGCCACACACACACATGCACGTGCGGCATGCAGGTCGCCATATAAGAGCAATAATTTTGAAGGCCACGTTAACCCTCACCTCACCTTTCGCCATGGTAGAATAGTTTTGTTTTATTTTGCTTGTTGAATTATCAACAAATAATTAGAGCCAACCTGGAGATATACAAAACCACTACTGAAGCGCATATCTGATCAAGAGGACAAATCCGCTAATATTTCCTTCTTAAACAATGCCCTTTATAGGCATTCGAATCATTATATTACACCAGAGACCATAAAAATAGTCTATTCTATTCTCTGATTATACTATGTGTAGTTTAAATGTCGGAGGGTGTTGAATAATATTTTTTGTTTGATTGTTGTTGAACGCCACACTCAGCAATATTCTAGCTGTATAACGGTGGTCTGTAAATAATCGAGTCTGGACCACACAATGCAGTGATTGACACCATGAGCATCGATTGGGATATGTATCAAGTCAATGAGTCTGACCACCCGATCCCGTTAGTCGCCGATTATGACAAGCATGGGTTGCTTGGAACGTATTCCAACCCGGATCTTCACAGGTATTTTCTTTAAATAATAAGGTATCAAATTAAGTATAAGTAAGTATAGTTGTTGTATATATATTTAAATATGTTTGTCATGAACCCAACCTTGTTTAAATTATATGAGAAGATGAGCGGTAACAACTTACGTCATTATTTCAAATCAGAATGATAGCACAGCAGGAAAGAAAGCATAGCATAATACGCGTATCTTGTTAACCCAATAGTTTTTAAATAAGAGCAACCTATACATCAAGAGAATAGGTTTGGTGCGTGTCTTATCATGTTCTGTTTATCGCGGGCTAAATATCATACCACGATTAATACGGGTAAATACGATCTACTCCAGAACTAGAATAGATTACTTTGGGTTAGGGGAAAAGTCTGTAATTATCATAACTTTGGAGTTCGACAAGCGTCGTGCTCGGGGGTTGTTTGGTCGTGTTCAAGGGATTCAGGGCCTGGGTGCATGGGGCTTTCCAAAGGTTTTGTGTTGGACGTGTAGACGGCATTTCCAGAATTGACGTATCAGTGACCAAAATGATGTGCGATGCAATTCCCTATTTTGATATGTACCGTGTGTTCCCGTGCCTATTAGGGTAAACAATTGCCTTCGCATGTGCTTGTGGCGGTCCCCAGGTGGCGAGCGCCCAGTATCATCATTGTTTGATAGTGAATCATGACACGCGCTCCTGATGTGGTAGGAATCGTGCAGTCGACGTTTGGCTGGGCTCTTGTCGCTTTTGTTAACTGATAAACATGAGAGATAATATCAGTGTCTAGTCATGTAACATCAAATATATGTCAATTTCTCATTGCCGTATCATGACCAGTCCGTGTCCAACCAATCGTGTAGCTATAACATATCACAAATATCATGGACTTCGACGTACAATAGAGTCGTGACATATGATTATCATTTGGTATGCACTTTTTCTGGTAGATACATCTATTATATGCTTACCTTTCAGAATAGGGACTTTACATTCATTATCACTTTGTCAAGTCTCTGCAAAACAATACAAATTTAATAATACAGACTCAACTTACATGTGTGTTGTAATATCCCTAAGTTACCGAGTGCGGCATTAAACAACAAACAAACAATACATAATATCCTTAAGAATTAAGAATAATGTTAATAATGCCAAATCTCCTTA